TAACATTTAATAAAGGCAAGAAAGAAGAGACATAAGGACGATAGATGTTTCATGTCCAAATTGAAGCAGATCTCACTAGAGCACCCACCAACCACCCTCTTCTAAGAGCAGGAACTTCCGAGTTTGGCATCACTTTTTCACCCACCTATCTTAACTCACTGAGGACATGATATACAATTATGTCATTCGAACGTTGAAGACGAGTCCTTTGGGGGTGCTACAAGAAGCGTAACTTCGTTATTCACATTTAAGTGCATTTTAATTCAGTTTTCTATATACGCGAATTTCAAAAAGGGAGGCAACAGCATGAATACTATGAAGTGTTTAAATTCCGCTGCTGGTCGGACATATTATGTAATGTAAGGCAGCATGGTGGAATCAGGCTCTCGTCCAAATAATCAAAGTGAAGAAACTTTCATTTTTCCGCAGGTTTCTGAATTTTTATCAAATTTTTACTTTTTGGCTGAACACTTTTCATGCCCTTTAAAGAACTAATTTCTTTGTGGATTTTTCTGAAAAACGTTGATTAAAAGCAAAAAAAAAAAAATTTTCTGTTACCACCGACTCTTAAGCTAAGGAAATAGCTAATCTTTGGCGGCCATTTTCTCACTAATTTTACCTCTGAAAACAGGTATCCCCATGTCCTTCATTCGCAAATATCTCGACTTGTAATCAAGATAAATGGATATTTTTTTTCATCCAAATAAAGACAAGTGAACAAGCTATAAGCTGATACCAATAACTCTACATGCCCAAAAATTGACGAGAGCCTGATTTCACCACGCTGCCTCACATATAGAGGTTCTGCGTCCGCTACGTCCTCAAAGAGTTAAAAATGGAATACACAAGAAAAGAGATAGAGAGAAAGGCCTAAAAACATTTAGAGGAGGGTCTTGGATTCGGACCTAAAGCAAACGGGATACACAGAGGTGAGTACTGTAGCCCAAGATATAAATGCAGTCAAAATTGTCCAAGACATCCACCCATTGTTGAGTAGAAAAATACTTTGTTTTGGACAGGTCGACATCTCAGACAGTGCCACAAAAATACAGAAAAAAATGAAAAAGGGAAATGGAAAGTGGTAGTTTTTACTGGTAACTTTCTTGGACAGGTGGCTGTTAGAACAGATTCGGCTAAAAATAGAGAGTACTTGTTGGTGGCCTATACTTCGGCACGGGGTTAGAAAATGAAGTACCAAAAACAACACAGAATATTGTCACTCACGCACTAGTAAAGGTAAACTGTAAACAACAACAAAAACAACAACAACAAAAAACAACAACAAAAACAACAACAACAACAACAACAACAACAACAGCAATGCAACCACCATCATCACCAACATAACAACACCAAGACCACCACAAACACGATCCAACAGAAATGACAACAAACAACAACAAACGACAAC